CCCCCGGCCCTTTCTTGTGGACTTTTTTGTGGAGGATCGGGTTTGGCCAGCCTCCCTCCCACCCCCATCGGCCCTAGAATCGGGGGAGCAGGGGTTTCACCGGGCCACTTAGCCCTCAGTGGGGTGGAAACCGCGCACGCTTGAAGCAGCAGTGGGCCAGCCTTTTCCCTGGTGGACAGGAAGTATGACCTCCAATGGGTTTCCCCATTGACCCTGTGCATGGCTTTAGGCCAGTCCCCTCCACTCTTTGGGCTCCAGTTTTCCCTCTGCCCAGTGAGGGGAGGGGACATCGTGTTTCAACGTCCCCTGTCAATTCTGACTTTTTCAGACGTGTGGCTTTCTTCCTGCACTTCCTCGCCCCAACCCAAACACACTGCCATTGAGTCTTTTCCGACTCATAGGACCCTATGTAGGGTTTCCGAGACTTGGTCCAGCCTGTGGCCCTGGTAGGGAAATTCCTCTAGAGAAATCCCAGGTTTTTGGTCCTACTGGCTGGAATCTTGCAGGAAACCATTCAGGCATCCTTTGCCCTTGGTCCAGCAGAAACCAGCACCGTACAGAGGAGCATCAGTTTGGTCTGGGCTTGTCTCAGGTGGCTTGGCTGAGGATGGGCTGACAGTTCCTTAGTGGGATCATTTGCTGACTTGGTTGGTAGCTTCCAGGTTGCCTGGTTGAGGGTCAAGTCTGGGCAATGCCCTGAGAAAGGCAGATCCCGAGAGGCCTAGCTTTGAGGTCACAGCTGAAAGGAACATGTGGGGAGTGGCTCGGGCTGCTGGCGATGATGTGATCCGCTCCTGGTGGCAGAAAACCCACAGCAGGATCGGCCTCACTAGGGACTGAGTGACCCTTCCCTCACTGGGCCCATCAGCAGCCTCCATCTGTGGTGCACGGATTAGGATGGCAGCTAGCGAGGCTGAGCCCCAAAGCCCACCACCTCATACTTCATATTCTGATATCCTTGTTCATTCTGGAAATGGTCCTTGTGTGCAAGGTCTAGGGAACCAGATGAATATGACCTCTGCTCTAAAAGGGGCTTAGAGGTTGGGAGAAAGCATGACTGCCACATGAAGGGAGATGGCTTCAGGACAGGCTCCCTGGGGAGGAGCTGTGCAAGCCACCTGCCATTGGCGCTGCTAACTGAAAGGTCTCCTAGGAAAAATGATGTGACTGTCACTTCCATAAGGATCTCCTTGCGGGCCAGTTCTTTGTTGCTATAACAGAAATGTTACAAGTCAGGGCTTTAACGAACAGAATTGCTTCTCTCAGTTTGGTGGTGGTGGTGGTGTGCCGTGGAGTGGGTTCCGACTCATAGCGAACCTACATAGGGTTTCCAAGGCTTTAAGTCTTTACAGGAGCAGAAAGCCTCATTTTTCTCCTGTGGAACGGCTGGTAATTTTGAACTTCTGACCCTGAGGTTAGCAGCCCGACTCGTAACCACTACGTTACCAGAGCACCTTTGTTGTTCAGTGCCATCAAGTCAATTCTGACTCATAGTGATCCTGTATAGGGTTTCTGAGGAACAGCTGGTGGATTTGAACCACTGACCCTGTGGTCGGCAGTCAAGTGCTTATCGTATAGTGCCACACCAGGACCAAATCCAAATGCAGTGGTGCAGCTCTGGGGACGGTCCCTGTCTCCTTCCAGTGTCTGTAGGCCTGGCATTCCTTGGGCATCTCTATCTGCATTGGCATCAGTCTTCCCCTAGTTCTTAGAGTTTCTCAGTGCACAGACCCTAGGTCCAAACGATGTGCTCCACTCTCAGCTCTTCTTTTCCTCTGATCTCTGTTCGCTGCCCTGGTGTGGCATTGGAGGACGAGCACTGCACTGCGAACTGCAAGGTTGGCGGTTTAAAACCACTAGCTGATCTCAGAAACCCTATGAGTCATGACCAGTTGGAGGGCACGAAACAAGAAGATGAGAACATGTTTCGGGTCACACCCCAGGGAAGCTCCGTTGTGATGGGATTACTGCCCACTTTCAATCCTCCTCTAGGTTAATCCCATCCTGAGGGAGCATTACATAATTGCTCTGTCCCATCCCACATGGCTGCCAAGCCACTGAGAATCATGTGCCAGTCAAGGTGACGGATATTTTGGGGGACCCAAGTCAATCTATGGCAGTTGCTGTAAGTTGGAATCGGGGTTGGTTGCTTTGGGATCCATAGGGAGAAATCTAGAAGAAAGGCAGTGCCTCCAAGTGCTTCTCAGCTGCCACTTGGCAGTTATCACCTGATGCCAGAGAATCGCAGGTTTAAGTGTCAGCAGAGATCCCCTCATGACTCCTGCACCATAGAAAGTTGGGGGCCCAGTTGCCTCCAGAGGCTTCTAGACTGCCAGCAGGAAGTGCTGGCTTGTTGGGAAGTGGCTCTGGTATCTTCTTCGCCTTTGGCAGAAGCTCTGCGACTGCCCAGGGAGACACGTGGCAGGGCATCCCCTGCAGTGGACCTTCCCATTTGATAGCCCTGTCCCCAGCTCTGGGCCAGTAGTCAGCATTCCTTTGGGTGAGCCTTCCTATCTGTCCTGCCTCTTGGGGGCTGAATTTTAACTGTGCTGGCCTCGGGATAGGTGCCTCACCGTGTGCCGTGTCCTGGTCTCTGTGTCCTGGTTCTGTGGTGGGCTTGTGTCGCTTGGCTGATAAGGAAGAATGAAAATGAAAATTCTCATTGTAGTGGTCTTGTGATTTATTCTAAAGTTTCCCTTATGGGACCACGGTAAATGTACCAATTTTTCAACGTTGCAACTCCCACTGCCCAGGAATCATTGGATGAAAATGAATCTTAGTCAAAAAAGAAAAGGGACCCAGGAATGGTTTCCAAAGACCCGCTCACTCAGGGCTGTTGGCCAGAGCCATGTCCTGGGCTGCTGCTGTTCTGAGGCTGGCGGGGCTTGAAGGGCTGACAAGTAACTTGCACTGTCTCTGTCAGGTTCTCGGTGGCTGTGAGCCCCCCCGGAGGAGCGTATCCTCGGTAAGTGTGAACCTTTTCACTCCCTGTCCCTCAGTGTCCTTCTGTCTGAGGTGTGGTGTGCGGGGCCTGCTTACCCCACCCCTTACTTGAATTGAGCTAGACAGGAGAGCCTGAAAAAAACACCCCGCTTCCCCAGACAGCTGCCCTTCCCTCCCACAGCAGCCGTGTGCCACTAACCTTGCCTTTTTTCCCGTCTTCTTCCTTCCCAACTCTCTCTAGCAACCAACAATTGTGAGTTCTCTTCTCTTGGGCTTTCTGGTGGGCTCAGGAGGTGCCAGGCAGGGTGGGGTATGGTGGTGGGGGAAATGTTCAGGAAGCAGTCTGCCCTGGACTGGTCTCTCTGGCTGGCTAGTGGGAGAAGGGAGCCTGCCTTTACCCCAACCCTCCCTGCAGCCTCCTTCGGCGAAGTATGGTGGGCGGCACACAGTGACAATGATCCCTGGGGACGGCATCGGGCCAGAGCTCATGCTACATGTCAAGTCTGTGTTCAGGTAGGGAGCCCAGCCAGGGGGGCGTTTGGGAGGAGGGGCAGCTTGGCAGGTTTCCCAAGTTGGGACAGGGTGGCTGGTGGCTGCCCTGACTTTGGCACGACCTCAGACATGCGTGTGTGCCGGTGGACTTTGAGGAGGTGCACGTGAGCTCCACTGCTGACGAGGAGGACATCCGGAATGCCATCATGGCTATCCGGCGGAACCGCGTGGCCCTGAAGGGTGAGCACTCAGCATGGGCACCCAGCTCCTTGGGGCTCCCAGGGGCTTCTGCACACTCTGCTGCGCTCCCTCCCTCCCCCTCTGTCCCTGAGCTCCGGCTTCATGTGGGGCCTTACAGTAACCTTGAGCGAGGTCACCTTGCTGGCCAGCTTCCCATCACCATTCGTCATCGAGGGCCTCCTGTGTGTCAGTGATCCGTCCAGGTCCTTGGAACGTACCACTGAATTAGGCCCCTGGGGCAGGGTGTAGGGACTGGTGGTGTGGCTTAACTGGTGGGACCCCTTGCCTTGTTTTGGCTCTAGGCAACATCGAAACTAACCACAACCTGCCACCATCTCATAAATCCCGAAACAACATCCTTCGGTAAGGTCAAGTGCACAGCGGGAACGGGGTGGGGGTGGGGCGCTCAGTCAAGCCCGGGTTCTACTCTCTGTTTGCCGCACCCCCCCTCCTTAGCACCAGCCTGGATCTGTATGCCAACGTCATCCACTGTAAGAGTCTGCCAGGGGTGGTGACCCGGCACAAGGACATTGACATCCTCATTGTCCGGGAGAACACCGAGGGCGAATACAGCAGCCTGGAGCATGAGGTGGGAGGTTGGGCCCTCAGGCACTAGAAGGGGGCACTACTTACTGTAACAGGCAGCCAGGGAGGAGCCTCCCCTGTCTGTCGGTCGGTCGGTCGGTCGGCCACTGGCCAGCTGTGGCTGTGTTGGGGACAGGCCCCTCTGCCCTCTCTTCCCCAGAGTGTGGCTGGAGTGGTGGAGAGCCTGAAGATCATCACCAAGGCCAAGTCCCTGCGCATCGCTGACTACGCCTTCAAGCTGGCCCAGGAGAGCGGCCGCAAAAAAGTGACCGCTGTGCACAAGGCCAACATCATGTATGCCGCCCCTCCCCCTCCCGGGGCCACCTACCAAGGGCTGCACACCCGCTCTTCAGCCAGGACCTCGCCACAGGCCAGACTGGGGGAGGTGGGACAGAATCGAGGCCCCCTGTCCACACCCTGTCCCGTCTCGCCCTCAGGAAGCTGGGTGACGGACTCTTCCTCCAGTGCTGCCGGGAGGTGGCTGCCCACTACCCCCAGATCACCTTTGAGAACATGATCGTGGACAATACCACCATGCAGGTAGTCAGCGGGCCTGGGGGCCTGGGGCTGCTCTCCTACTTCTGAGGCAGGCCCTTAGCCTCCTGCTTGTCGTGCAGTTGGTGTCCCGGCCCCAGCAGTTTGACGTCATGGTGATGCCGAACCTTTACGGCAACATTGTCAACAACGTCTGTGCTGGGCTGGTTGGGGGCCCAGGCCTTGTGGCTGGGGCCAACTATGGCCACGTGTATGCGGTGTTCGAGACGGTGAGTGCTTGGGGGGCATGAGGGCGTCTTTGTAAATGGCCATTCCCATCACGGTGTCCATCATGTCCCGGTCCTTGTCCTCCCCAGCCCTAGGTGGCCACTAGTCTGTGTTTGCAGCTCTGTTGTCAGGCAGGGCTCCATTTCTCTGTCTGACCGAGTGCCATGCCATTGTATGGATGGAGCACTCTTGTTGCTCCATTTGAAGGGTTTTACCGTGATTGAAATTAAGGTAAGTCAATGTTACGGGAATCAGGTTTGAAAACACGTAGCGACGATGGTTGTACCCACATGGTGAATGTGTTTAACGCCACTGAATGGTTCACTTCAAAGTGCTTCTGATGGTGAATGTTGTGGGTCTCTTACCATGACTTTTGTGTGTCTATATATGAAATGAGCCATTTTAAGTGCCTAATGCATTGTCATCGAGGGCATTCACAAAGTGGTGCAAATCCACCTCTGTCTTATTCCAGAATGTTCTGTCACTCAGAAGGAAACCCCGTGTCCATTAGCAGTCACTCCCCAGCCCCATTGCCCTAGCCCCTCCAGCCAACCACTGGCCTGCTTTCTGTCTGAATTGGCCTGTTCTGGACATTTCATATCCACGCACGTGAATGCAGTCTGCCATTCTCCATGCACCCTCTTGCATTTGGCCTCTCCCAGGCTACCAGGAACACAGGCAAGAGTATCGCCAAGAAAAACATCGCCAATCCGACAGCAACATTGTTGGCAAGCTGCATGATGCTAGACCACCTCAAGTAAGTGGTTTCTTCATGCAGGGCCCTAATGCCTGCCCTGGCCAGTCCCCTAGACCCTGAGACTGACCTCTTCCTACCTGTAGGCTCCACTCCTACGCCACCTCCATCCGCAAGGCAGTCTTGGCGTCCATGGACAATGAGAACGTGAGCTGCTCCTTGTCTTCCCCTGCTGCCCCACCCTGCCCCGCCCTGCCCTGCCCTGCCTGGTGGGATTCTGCCTCTCTGGTCGCCTCATGCCCAAGTGTGTCTTCTTCTGCAGATGCATACCCCAGACATCGGGGGCCAGGGCACCACATCTGAGGCCATCCAGGACATTATCCGCCACATCCGCATCATCAATGGCCGGGCTGTGGAGGCCTAACTGCCCCCAGACCGCTGCTCTGCCCAGTCCCAGCCCCCCTCGAAATCCCCAGCAGCTGGGGCCGCCCCAACTACAGAATAAAGCGGCCTCTGCTCCCAACCTGGCCTTGCTGCGTCTCTCCTAGGCAGGGCAGTCACCCCACTCAGGATGCCAGCGCGGCAGTTCCAACTTTATTAAGAAAAGAAACACACTGTTCCATTAGACCACCTGCTCCCACATCTGCCCTAGGCATGGGGGGTGAGGGTCCGCCCCCAACCAGGTGGGAAGAGGGCACCCTGCTTCCTTGAAGGCACTGGGGCTTGGGTAAGCCCGAGGCTCAGACCCCGAGAGGCTAGGGGTTGAGCCAGGGGTGTTGCAGACAGTCGGCGGCGCTGGCCCGCTTCTCCGGGAGGTACTCCATCATAGGCAGTAGAAAGGCGCTGAACTGGGTAGCCTGCTCTAAGGGCCACTCGTACTTCTCCATCAGCACCTCGTACAGGCCCCAGTGCCGGAGGTTGTGGATGTGCCGAAGCTCTCCTGGGGGTGGGGCCAGCGTCAGGCTCTGTCCCTGCGCACGATGGCCAGGAAGGACCCCAAACTCCCCACGCACCCCGGGCCCCACCTCTCCGGTTGAAGAACTCTCGGGAATACCGGCCTGAGAGGGCGAACACTGGGGGGATGTCTCCCAGGAGCTCCACAATGTGAGCGATGTGGTCTGCAGAAACAGGAGGTTGGGCCCTGCCGGGCTCCCACAGGCCCCCCAACTGAGCCCCTTGCCTGCCTGTACCTACCCTCATCCCGGCTGTAGTCTTCTCCAGAGTGGGGTTCGAACAGGTAGTCGCCAGTGGCCAGCTCAAAGGCCTGGAACAATGAGAGGATGAGGTCACTGCAGGGGCCCCGCCCTGAGCCCTCCATCTTGCCCCCTTCCCTACCATGCAGGCTGTGCTCCAGATATCGGCTGGGGGCCCATATTCGGCGCCGATCAGGACCTCCACAGCCCGGTACTGGCGAGTCTGGATGTCCTCTGTGAAATGCTTGTGCTGTAGGGAAAGACGAGAGCCCAAGGCATCTTTGAGGAGCTAGTTGGAGGGCACACTATGCTCCCTGGTTCACCCAGGAGGAAATGAGCCAGTGCCCCAAGTAATGGTGACCCCTCAGGGCCAATGAATGGATTGATGAAGGAGCCCACAGCCGGTGTGCACCAGGGCACCCTTCTCTGTTGTGTCCCCTTCAGGCAGGCCACCCAGCCTTTCAGATAGGGTACTGCAGTGTGCAGACAGGGTGCAGGGAGGCTGAGGAGACAAGCTTAGAAGATGGGGAGTGGGGTGCACAAGTCAGGGCCCTGGCCCCCTTCCCAGCAGGGCCTCCCAAGAACAAGGCTGGGCCCCCTCCTACCACCCAGCAGGCGTTGCCCAGATCTGCGATTTTGATCTTGATCTTGTCTGCATTTTGTGGCTCCAGGGGGTTCACCAGGAGGCTTGAAGCACCAAAGGGCACTGGGGGAGGGAGAGCCTGGGGTGAGCAGACCCACCCCAGCCTATAGCACCCCTTCCCCATCTCCAGCTCACTTACTGCTAGGTGAAAGGAGGCCCCCTGTCTCCCGCTGGTTGGATGACCCTGAGAGGACAGAGCTCGAGGCAGCAGAGAAGAGAGAGCCAGAGAAGCCGGAGGTCTGTGAGCTGGGGCTGAGGCTGCGTGCCCCGCCTGGGGCTGGCGACGAGGAGGCTGGCGAGGGGCCTGTCCCGGCCCCCCCGGGGTGGCACCCAGAAGAAGAGGTGGAGCCGCTGCCGCCCTCTAGTCTCGAGTTGGTGTCTAGACACACAGGAGGAGAGGGGAGTTAGGGGAATCACTGACCTGAGCGTCCTGGGTCCTGCCCCCTGCCAAGCCCTCACCCTCCATGGCGTCCAGCTTCTGCAGGTCCCGCAGTCGCTCCTCCAGCAGCCGCTTCTGCTGCTTCCGTTTGCGTCGGAGCTTCTTTCTCTTGTTCTTGGGCAGCTTTCCGATCTGCCAGTGGAGCCGGGGTTACCCAGAAAGTCCCCGCATAGCCCAAGGGAGACCTCCCAGCTCCCAGGGTCTCGCCAGGAGCCTAGGCCACCTCACAGTCCCTCAGGGGGGTCCTAGCACCTTCTTGGCCTCCACCCACACAACCTCAACTCCTGTGTCCCTGTCCCACACCTGCTGCCCACTGGGCTTACTATGGCCGGTGCCACTCAGGAGTGAGGCCCCTAGGGCCTGGGCACCCTTCTGTTGTGTCCCCTTCAGTCAGGCCACCCCAGTCTTTCAGATAGGGTACTGCAGTGTACGGACAGGGATGCGGAGAAGAGGAGGCAAGCTTAGAAGATGGGGAGTAGGGTGCATGATAAGAGGACGCTCCAACTTACCAAGATCTCCTGGGGGGCAGTGCTGACTGCGGGGAAGGGAGAAACAGACTCAGGCCGGGCTGAGGCCCCATGGCCCCAGCCCAAGTGCCAAGCGCCTAGTACCTGTGGAGCGAGATGGGGGCAAGCCCCCTGACTGCTGCCACTCAGTGGCCTCGGCAGCCAGGCGCCTGATGTACGCGTCCCCCACACACAGCAGGATGTTTTCAGGCTTGATGTCTGTGTGGATGATCTTGCACTTGGTGTGAAGGTAGTCCAGGCCATGCAGCACCTGAAGAGAGCCACCGGCGGATCTGGTGGGGCCCGGGCCGGCCACGCCCCTGCCGAGCCAGTGCCCGCAGGCCATGCTTGCTCACCTGCCTCACGATGCTCTTCACGCAGGGTACAGGCAGGCCCTGATAGTTGGACTTGATGATCCATTTGAGAAGCTGATGTCCCAGGACTTCTAGCACCATGCACACATCTGGGGCTGTGAGTGAAGGCTGGCATCCTGCTGCCAGGAGAGCCCCAAGGCTTCAGTTGGGATCACACTGTGTGCGTCATTACTTATAGCGCCCCTGAAGTGCCCACTCCCAGATGACACTTTGCCACCTTAGTGACCAAGTACAGCCCCAGAGTCCAGCACCCCATCACACAAAGGATACGGACACCATTAACCCCAGAGATCCTGAAGTCATCAATAAGCTGGACGATAGTTTCTCTTTTGGGGTCACTGGGGTCACTGTCCCGCACCTGGATCAGAAGCCAAGGGGCCAAGATGGCTCCAGCCCCTCGCCAGTGGCCCCCTGAGGCCCCTCCCCCCTCGTGGGCCCCAGTAGTCCTGGCCTCCGGGGCCTGTCCTGGGCCCAGGCAGGCCGGCCAGCCCTGCAGGGGGAGGGGCCTCACACATTTCAGGAGTTTGATCTCATCCACAGCTGTCTCCGTGTAATGCCCCGCGCTCTTCACCACTTTCAGGGCCACAAACCGCTTGCGCCTGCAATGAGACCCGCGTCTGCTGTGGCCCTGGCCAGCTGGGTGGGGTGCAGTCCTGTGGCCCTGAGTGTGGGGGCGGGGAGGCTCATGGGCCACTCACTGAATGTCCCAGCAAAGCCAGACGGTGGAGAAGTGGCCCCAGCCCAGCTTGCGCACCACGTGGTACCTCCCATTGAACAGGTCACCAATCTTCACTGGGTAGTAGCCACCTGGCAAGGGAGTCCACAGATCATGGTAAGCCTGCCTCCCTCCCCAGGCCCCCAGGGAGCTCCCTGCCGACCCTCTGCCACCTCAGGCCCTGTGCTGGGGCCCCCTCCCAGGCTTGGGGCCCCGTCCCAGCAGCGGCCGTCTTGGGGCCAGCTCTGGCCTCACCCTTGCAGTAGTCCTTGGGGTCTTCCTGCTCCTCGTCATCGGAGCCCAGAAGCCCCTGCAGCATCCGTGGCACTGGCGCAGCCGGGGCCAACTCCGAGCCGGAGGACTCAGGCCCACAGGAGGCCTGTGAACTGGCGGTGGGTGACAGTGAGCTTGGAGAAACACCAGGAACCCCACGGTGCCGGGACGGGCCCTACCTGCTGCTGCTACCGCTGTCCCCGCCGCCACCACCCACGCTGGCGCTCATCCCGGCTGGGCCGCAGCTCTGGCGCCCCGGGGCGGCTGCTCCTGTGGGGCCCGGCCACGGCCTAAGCATTTATAGCCTCGGCCGGCTGATCTCACCCGCCTTTATAAATAGCCTCCCAGCTGCTCCGCTGCGGGCAAGGTATGCGGGCGGGCGTGGGGAAGGGGCGGTGCAACCTCGGCGCCCCCCCCCAGCCCGGCCCCCCAGGCCCAGCCCACGAAGGGATGAGGCAGCCAGCCGGCCCCAGACGGAGCCCATGGGCTGCTTGCGCGGGAAATACTGGCTCAACCTCCGAGCTTCAGGGCCCCAGGCAGAGCTCCACACAGGGCCTGGGCCCCCAGCCCCAGCCCCCGCCTGCACTGCAGGATAGAACATTCTCTGATTGCACTCGGCTCCACCCAGTCCCATCAGAACCCGTTGCCTACCCTTCCCGCCTTTCCCGCCGCAGTAACTGGCTCCGGCTTGAGCGGAGGCGACCGCCCCCTCACCGGTCCACTGCCCTTAGGGGCGACAGGAAAAGACCACCATTGCTGCCAAAACTAGGAGCAGGGCAGAGTGGCAGAGTTCTCCGGAGCCAGAAGAATTGGGTGGCCGGACCTGTATGGCCACCCACATCTATCTGATCCTGGCTGTGGTGTGGCTGGGGGAGGGGGGCGCTCGGCCTGGAGCCCGCGGCCAGCAGTCTAGAGGTGCCGCCTTGCAGCTGTTTTGAGTGCCCTTTGAGGAGGAGGGGTGGGGCAAGAGTCCAGAGGGGGGCTTGACATTGAGTGTTGTTCTCTAGAGAGGGGAGACCCTGGGGTCCTGTGTCCCCCACTCTCCCCGAATTACAGAAAAAAGCCGAGGCTGGACTTTTTCTAGAAAGATGTGTTTGTTTTATTTCCAGATGTGATTCTCCAGCAAGCAAATAAATACAATGGGCAAGAAGGGGTGGGGGTGGTTATAAATGAGACAGCCCAGGAGAGAGATGCCTGGCACACACCCCACCCCTCCTTGGCCGGTCCCTTCTCAGTCACTGGCTCCTGCTGGCTCACAGGTGAGTCACTTTGTTCTCTACCAGGGCAGCGATCTGCTGTAGGCGGCAGGCCAGCTGCATCTTCTGACCCACAGGGTCCTCCTCCAGGGCACTGATGATCTGTGTGTGGGAGGGGGGGGAGGGGAAGAGGCCAGCCTGAGGCCTAGGGCTGCCTGGCCATGCTTCATCTCAGCCGGGTCTGCCAGGGCCATCCCGTGCCACCACCACCACCACCCCCGAAGTCTCACCTGGTCATAGTACCTGTGGATGTGTCTGTAGAGCTGCTGCAGGGCTTCCAGGCAGTGGGGGGTAGAGGTGTAGCTCTGGGGGCAGCGCGGGGTGGGGGTGAGACCCTAGTCTCCACCTCCCCATGCTCTCCCTTCCCCCGGTCCCAGGTCGAGCCTCACCCCTGAGAGTTCCGCCAGGACTGAATTCATTTCTTGGTAGCTGGCTGGGGAGCTCTGGCGAATGTCCGCATAGTATCTGGGTGAAGGGACAGAGTTAGGTAGGGGTCAACCCCATCCCCCCAGCCCCTAACTCGCCAGGGGAACACCTACTTCTCTACCATCTGCTTGTAGCGAGGGATCTCCCGAGCGTAGAGCAGCTTGTTCACGGGGGAATCCTGCTCCGGAAGAAGAGGTGGGTGTGAGCTCCTCCCCAGGCCTGCTGGGCCCACCCATCTGTCCCTGGTCCTGAGGCCCAAGGGCACCCTCACCCGGCCCACTTTGTGCTCTGAGAGGGTGCAGGAGTCGATGAAGGTCTGGGCGATGACGGCAAGGATGGCATCCACGTTATCTGACACCCGTACGTCAAAGATAAACTGGGGGTTCTTCAGTGTGTTCACCCAGAACCGCAGCAGCAGGCTGGGGACACAGGCCGGACAGGCTGATGGGTGGCTGCTGAGTCCTCGAACACACTAAGGTCACAGCCCCGGCCCTCATTCCTGTCGGGAACTGTCCTGGTGGCCGAGGACTTGGGAGAGGGACCGGAAGTAGAGGTAGGGAGGAGCAAGGTCAGGGACTTAGCATCGTGGGAGGCACCTGTTGGTTTTCCAGATGTGCAGGGTCTCGGGGTCCTCAATGCTGTGCTTGTCTGCCAGCTCATCCAGGAAGTCAAATAGGTACCTGACAGCGATGGGCACAGGCCGGTTCACACTCAGAATAGACTGGAATGTGTCATCCACAAACTTCTGCAGTGTGCCCTGCAAGGCAGATCCAGCATTGGGGACGTGTAGGGCAGGACAGAGCCAGCTCAGCCAGAGCCCTCCCTGCCTGCCTCCAGGCCCTGACCTTCATGGAGAGCAGGCGGGTGAGGTAGATTTCTGGAATGGCCTTGGCCCGGGCCCGCTCGCGCTCTCGTTCACGCAGGCTGCTGCGCCGAGGCTTGGTCCCTTCCAGTTCCTCGGTGGCCTTCACCAGGTGCCACAGACGGAGCCCACCTTCCTCACCATCCTCGCTGTCCTCCAGCATGGGCGTATCTGAGGGCACCGGGCCTGGCCTCACTCTGTCTGCCTGGGACACCCAGCCCACTTACCCAGTGGGGGACAGGAGAGAAGTTCTGACTGGGGCCCTAGGTCACACTTTGCTCCCTTCTACCTTGAGATCCCCCTCCCTGTGGGCAAGGCCTGGCCTCAGGCCTGGGAAACCTCCTGAGAGATGGTCCAGGGCACTCACTCTCCCCCGAGGGGCAACTCTGGGCCAGAGTCTGGGCGACGGTGCCTGCGTGGTGCAGCCGGGGGATGAGCCCCACTGTTGCTCCGTCTGGGACCTGGCGGGAAGGGGGCAGAGGGCCGGCACATCACCAACCGAACCCTGAGGCAGGGCCGCACCCCTAGTGCTCAGCCTGCCCGAGCCCCACGGTAGCACCTTATAGTGCTGAAGGGTGTTGAGTCTCTTCCAGTGGTTCTGGGTCACTGAGGTCAGGTCTTCATCGGATAGGGTGAGGTGACCAGCCATGCCCGAGCGCCACTCTGGGGTGACAGAAAAGCCAGTCAGCCCCAGCCTGTACAGACTGCCCCTGGGCACGATGGGAAGGGCCCACTCACCGAGGTCTAGGGTGTGCACGGAGGGTCTCTGGGAGAAGGGGGTGCCCTTGTAGACCTGGTCCAGCACCTTCTCCTTGACCTGGGTGATGGTGTCGGTGTCGAGCACTCGGGCCGGCACTCGCTGCCCGCTGTTGGCCCCTGCCACCCCACTGGACCCCGGGTCCACCAGCACCATGAGCGTCAGGGGCCGGAACTCCACATCCTCACGAAGCAGGCGGCTGTCATTCAGGGTGCGCTTGGCCTTGCCTGTTATGGCGTCCACAGGGCCCTTGTCCACCTGGTACTTGATGGCCCGGAAGAGCATGTAAAGCGGCTCACCGGCCACCTCCTGCGATCACCAGGACGGACTTGATGGGTGCAGGAAGCTCAGCTCCCGCCCCTCCTGGCTCCCCTCCTTGTCTAGCCTGGGACATGGTTCGAGACCCTTTCTCTCCCACACCCCTGCCCTGAGGCCCCACCCTGACCAAGTCGGCGTGTGGGAATGAGGAGGGCTGCCGGTGGTCGCTGTCTCTCACCCTCAGGAAGGCATACAGACAGATGGACAGCCAGTTGGTGAGCAGCTTCTCCACCATGCTCTCCGTCCTGCGGGGAGTGCGCCCAGCTCAAGGGGCTTCAGGCCCACCCTGCCCTGCCCCTGCCGCTCCCTCCTCTTGGGTTCCCCAGCCCATCCACCTTAGGGCCCACCTGCGCAGCATGAGCTTGGGGTTCTTGTCCACGTAGTGAGTGGCCAGGTCACTGAGCAGGGTCCTGAGGATGTCAGTCAGGTACTCTAACTTGCCATGCAGTGCCAAGGACAGCAAGGAGGCCACATGACAGCGGTCGCGCTGGGAGAAGCTGGGCTGCTCCTCCAATGTGTGGATGAGCTGGGAGAGGGGTATGCACTCACTTGGAAAGATCCACATCGGCCCCCCCTCCAGCATTCCCTTCCCTCCCAGGACCCTCACTGTGAGGAGGAAGAGCTTGCTGTTCAGCAGGTGGGAGAGCTGGATGAGGCCCTGGCGCACAGTGGCACGCTGACCCTCCTCCTCCTTCTCCTCCTCCTCGGACCCATCGGCCCAGGGCTGCAGCGGGCAGTCTCCATGGCCGGGGAAAAAGACGCGCTCCGCGTACGTGTGGTAGTCCAGAAAGGGGATCCCGCTGGCCTCCAGGTCGCTGCTGAGGTCGGTCATTTCTGTCATTAGGTCTGCAGACCAATACAGAGGCGGTGAGGGTGGACCTCGACTGAGCCCTTGTGACCCTCTTGTGACATGGGTCGTCGCGCTCACGCCCCACGCTGCACCTGTGAACTCCTTGCGGCACTGGTCACCCACGCCGACCTCCAGGCTCTCGAGTTGCACCAGCACCTTCTGGTAGTCCCGCAGGGCCTGCTTGCTCTTGTGCCTGGAGCCCAGGGTCCGAGTCAGGCCCAGGGCTGAAGCCACCCTTCTTCCCATAGGAGGCCGGGGAGGTGGGCACCTCACCTGTACATGAGCGTGAGCAGCAGGACAGCGGCCGTCAGCAGCGCAGCACCCAGCCCCAGGCCCACCTGGGCCTCCACGGGGAATGAGGCCAGCATGGGCTCCGCCTCGTACTGCACGGGGCCCAGTGCCAGCCGCACATTGCCCATGTGCACCTGTGGGTGGGTACACGGGCTTGAGGTGAGGGACTTGGCTGTTGGCTGCCCACCACCCGCTGCCCACCCGAAACCTCACCACAAACTGAGGCAGGCTGCTGGAACCATTGTTGGGCTGTGGGGCACGCTGTGGGGGCAGGCAGTACAGGTGGGTAAGGGTGAGCGTCTTCACCAAGCACTCTTCGTCCCCGATGAGCACGCGCACTTCTTCCTTGCTGATGGCCAGGTTGAGGCCCTCGCCCTGGGGTTGGAGCCTGAGCCTCAGCTGCGTCCCCATCTCACCACGCACCCACCCACCCATCTGAGGCCCGAGCAAGCCTCACCTCCACGTCCAGCACATTGCCTGGCTTCAGGAGGTAGGGTCGGGTAGGGCTCTCTCGACTGAGGGGCGCCAGCCGGGGGTTGGGCTGGTAGAGGAAGGCCTGGCCCCCACTGGCCCTGGTGAAGTCCACGTGCATGTCATCCAGGGTGAAGAAGACACGGTGTGGGCGGGCGCCGTCAGGCACGGCGGGGCTCAGACAGAGGAGGAGGCTGGATGAGTTGACGGAGCAGACAGTGGAGCACTGTGGGAGGCAGCGGGTGGGCACAGGGCCTCAGTTGGGGTGCTCTCCCCTCCCCCCTTCCCATTAGCAGTGGGGGCTCACCTGCAGCAAGCCCCCCTCAAGCTGAACACAAGCCTGGGGATCCGCAGCAGGGACCCCACAGCTCTGCCTTGGTTCCGGGTCCTGGGGCTGGGCCAGTGTGCCTCCTGCCTGGCCCTCAGCCTCCAGCCACACAGACAGCAACGGCCGCCGCACCACATCCAGGCCGGAACCCCGGACACGGATCAAGCGCCCGCCCCTGCACCAGGACAGCAGTCAGTCTGGCAGAGGGGTGGCCCCAGCTCCCACCTCAGAGGGCCCGGGGGCCTGTCCAGCTTCTCACCCCCGGAAGCTGACGCTGGGCTCAGCTGCCAAGAGCTGGGGGTTGGCTGTGTAGAGGAAAGGGGTAGACAGCAGCAGGCGCTGGGCCTTGCCGAAGACCACTCGCACGGTGGCTTTTCCTGGGGCTGCCCGGGGCATGGTGTGGCACAGGATGACTTCAGGACACACGGGCTCCCGGCTGTAGGGGCGGGAAGAGGGGTGTCCTCTGTGCCTGTGGCCCCAGGCTGACCACACAAGAGGCCCCTGAGTCCACCCCTCCCCCTGTTCAGAGGGGAACACTGCCTAGTGGCAGGGCAGGTACTCACATGGGGCAGGGCTGGCCCCCAACAAAGGCGCTGACGTTGCCCCCAGTCTGGAGGTGCTGCCCATGGATGGTGAGCTGGGTTCCCCCTGCTTGTGGACCCCACCGGGGGCTCAGGCTCAGCAGGACAGGGTCCTGGGGAACAGGGTGGGCTGGGCCAGGCCTGGCAGCCTGATGCTGCTCCTGTTTACCTCTCAGCCCCTGTCCCCATGGCCCCTAGACTGTTAGAGCTGCATAACCCAAGCCCACTTCTCATTCTTGTCCCCTGGGCTACTGTCCAGTTTCCCTTCCTCAGGCTTTTTGTCCTTGCCCTTGGTGCACCACGTGGGCCAGGCAGACCTCCTGATGATGATCTCCCATCCCCACTGCTTCCGCCTGAGGCTCCCAGGCCCCGTGACCCGTCCCAGGCCTGCCACCTTGTCAAACTCACAGCGGTCATCTGCCTGGACGCACCCTGGGTGGGCACTGACCTGGTAAATGAAGTGCTGGATCGAGATGCCCGGTGGCCGACTCTTAATGGCCACTTGAACTGGCCCAGTGGTGCCGTTGGGGGCAGGTGACGTCACGCACACAATCCTGAGGAGTGAAGGCCTGGTGAGGTGGAGCTCCTTGGCTCCTGTGTGCTCAGTCCTTTCCTGGCCTGCCAGCCCCCTTCCCACTGCCAGCTCCCCTTGACTCGGGTGGCCTTATTTCTCTCAGGGTGGCCGGGGTCTTTGTGCTTCTGCCTGCCTTGGCATCTCACCGGGTAGAGATCTGATAGAGAGCTGGGTCAGGGCTGCAGGGCTGGCCGGCCACGCTAACGGCGTCCTGCACCTCGGTGAAGTCCCGGCCCAGGTTCGAACCGAGGATTGTGAGGGCCAGGCCTCCCTCTGGGGGACCCGTCTGGGGCTCAATCTGTAGCCATGAAGGAGGAACAGAAAATGGCCTGCTCCAAACAGCCGCAGCTTCAGGCAGGCCTGCTCAACCATAGGCTTGGGGCCCTGGAGCAAGGGAGGCGACGGGGAGGCAAGGCTTGACCTGCCGAGGGTCCTCACCGAGAAAATGCTGGGCCTGGGACAGAGCTGCTGGGCGGCCCCGGGGGGGCACAGGGGCCCGTAGCGACAGGCTGGCGGGCTATGGTTGCACCACAGGCAGCCCAGGCTCCTGTTGGCTGCCTGGCAGTGGCTGCAGTCGGGGTGGCCCACGGCACAGTCATACAAAGTCACTGGGGAAAGTCAGGCAGTGTTGAGGCCCCTCCCCTGGACCATTGGCCCACCCCCACCCCCAGCTCACCATGAAGAGGGCCTGCATTGTCCAGGCGCTGGGTCTCGCCTCGTGTGACGTAGATGGGCACACGGAGCTCACGTTGAGAGGTCGCGGGGTGGAACTGTGGGAGGAGGCCTGGGTCAGGGTACCCGACCTCTGCCTCCAGACACCCCCCAGAATGGGTACGATTGTTCAGAGCCCAGGGCAAAGGCAAAGGCACACAGCAGGCACTCAAGAGGGAGGGCATATGACGAGATGGGCGCCCATCCCAGGGCTGCGGGACATGCCCCATGTGGTGAGTTGGTGGTAGGGGGCAACTGCCCACCTGCTGGGCCTGGCAATGGATGAGGCCCCTGTCCCCGGTGGTCTCCTCCAAGGAGGCTGGCAGCCTCCCAAGCTCTCCTGGCAGCTGTAGCCAGCAGTGGAAGGAGGCAGGCTGGCCCTAGGGCAGGGGGACAGGGTCAGGGTCCCGGTAAAATGCCTGTCCCTGCCCCTGCCCCATCCCCACTCACTCGGAAATGCTCAAGGTTCCGCACACGCAACACCAAGCGGCTCTCCCAGCCCACAGGCACCAGTAGGGGACCTGCAAGACCCTCAACCTGAGGACAAGCCTCAGGGCCCCGCTCCTGGATGTCCACCTGGGAAAACGAGACCCCCAGAGCCCTTGATAACTCAAGGGTCCTGGACAAGGAGGGCATAGGGTAGAGTAGCCAAAAGTGGGAGAGGTGAACCCTCGCCCACCGACCCCACCCACCTCCTGAGCGCTGTAGACAGTCCTCTCGCCTTCGGGACAGCGCTCTCCATGCACGCACTGGTTGCTCTTGGGGCACCAGTGGCACCGCCAGAGGCTTCCCACGCAAGTGTGGCACCTGGAAGGGCAAGAAGGGGTTCAGTCTGGTGGGTCAGGGTCCTCACCTTCCCACCCCACGCCCCACGCCTGCCCTCCGCCCAAGAGGAGTCAGCCTGGGAGCTCACGGGGCAGCCTCATCCAAGGCCTGCACGGCACTGCAGTCGTAGAAGGAAAAATTGGCAGCAGCTACAACCACATCCTCAAACATCAGGGCCAGGACTACGGTGACATGGTCTGGGAGTACAAAGGGGTGGCAGAGTGGGTCAACGAGCCGCCTGCCTCCTCCGGCTCCTGCTGGGGTCCCTTGCCCTGCCTCCAGACCTCACCTGTGCCTGGAGGGTTAGGTGGCACCTGTTCATGGGCAGGTGTGACACAGGTCACATGGGGCCCTTCCACGTGAGCCAAGCTGTCGTAGTCTCCAAAGGCACAGTGGAAGTACTCGTCCAAGGACAGGGCAGGCAACCAGGGGACAGAGAGGGTGACCTGAGACATGCGGGAGGAACCCGAGTGAGCTAGTGCTGGGGCAGATGCAGGTGGGCGGGGCACCTCCAGCAGAGCCATCCCCATCACAGGCCTGAGTCTCGGCCCAGCTGTCCTACCTGGCCCTGCTCCTGGCGGGGATGTTGGGCTGGTTGCAGAGCTTGGATGTATGGGCAGCGGCTGCCCTCCTCATAGCTCCATAGCCACTGGTTCGGCTGAGCCGCCTGCTGACACTGACCCTTCCGGGTACACCTGGCGGGCAGGGGCCCATTGGGTCGCTGCAGGGTCTCAGGACCTTTGACCCTCATCACCCAGCCCATTCAGATGGCCCGGTTGGAGCACAGTGAGGGGAGCATGAAGGGGGCCAAACACAGTACTTCACAGTGGAGGTGAGAAGGAAGCTGCCGGCTGGTAGGAGGCAGGGGAGGCTATGGACCCATGGTCAGCTGGCTGGGATCATGGGAACACGAGGATGGGATGGAGGCCAAGGTTGGGGCTCCGAAACGAGACATGCATAGCATCTGTGCAAGGGGGTGCCGACCCAATAGTGGGCTGAGGGGATGAGGCGGGAGGGAGTGCTCAGTGATGACACCATTCTGTCACTCAACCAGCTGGGGCCAGGAGATGGCTGAGGCACCCGACCCACCCCGCCAGGGCAGTGCTTACCTGCCCTGGAGAACACACCAGCCACAGAGTGGGTCCCGAGCCTGCAGGCAGCTGGCACAGTCAGGAAAGTTGGGGCAGGCTGCCACTGGCACCCTGTCCACCTGTGTGGGCAGCAAGGCAACAGGCTGTGGGTGTGGCTCCTGGGGCCCTGTGCACCTCGTCCCTGCCTGAGGCGGCTCTCACCTGCTGGGCGGTCAGGACATAGAGATGGCTGCCACTGCCATCCACCAACAAGTCGGGACTGATGGCTGAGCCCAGGGGCCCCACTTGTCGGGAGTAGTACACCTGGCCTTGGGAGCCATTGAGAAAGACCTGGAGGCGGAGGGCAGGGTGGGGACACGAAAGCAGAGCTGAGTCCTGCCCTATACACAAGCATTCCCAGGGGAGAGCCAGCTTCCCCAGCTCCCAGTTCCCCTCCCATCTGACCAGGGAGACCATTCCACGTTACTGAGGGTCCAGTCGGCAGCACCAGGCCTGGGATGCCCACCCCCCCCCCAGGGGAGGTCCTCCACCCTGTGGGCTGGAGCTGCCATCTGGAGAAGGCAGCGAGCAGGACTGGGGCCAGCAGGTTGAGGGCGGCCTGACGGCTTCCCTGGCAGCCCAGGGCCCCTCCCTTAGCAGGCCCTCACCTTGTGTAGCTGGCCCTGCGTATCCCCCAGGAAGACCACCGTGTGTCCGTCAGCCTGGAGGGCGGCCACCGCGCTGACGGACTGCTCAAGCAGCAGAAGAGGCTTGGCCTCTAGGGGCCGGCGGCCAGCAATGGGGCTGGGAGTGTGCTCATCACCACAGGGGTATGACTCGGGGGAATCCTGGGGGCAGGAAGGGCGGGAGGCAGTGTGACATGCTTGTAGGACAGGGAGAGGGATATGGAGGGGGCGGGGTGGTGGTGGTCACATCTGAGCTCTAGGCTGCCCCCCTCCAGACCTGTGGGGTGCAGGTGATGGGAGGCAGGGGTGAGGGACTTCTCCAGCATACTCACAGGGGGTAGGGTGACGCAGCGCGATGTCACTCCATATTCCACGGTGGCTTCTTCCGAGCCACTGGGGGCCCGTCCGGCCGCTGTGTAGCAGAGGCGCCGGGCCTCCTCCATGCTGGCGTCCAGCTGGGTCAAGGGAAAGGCACACAGGGCAGCCCGCGTCCCCAGAGGGCCAGCAGCAAATGCTCCCAACAGTGTGCCCGGGGCCAGGAAGGCCGCCTGGACAAGGCCCTGGCCATGGCATGCCAGGGGCACCTCCACATAGGAGTAAAGGTTGGCGTCACCCAGACAGACTCGGGCCACATAGGAGCGGTACTCCGCCTGAGTCCGGGCTCCGCGGCGGCGGAAGATGAAGTAGGCAGAGCGGGCGTCGGCAAAGGCACCAATGTAGCTGTTGTTGTAGTCAGAGAAATCCCCCACCACAAGGCGGCCCAAGCCTTCGCTGGAGAAAGGCTGTGGCCCAGCCAGCTGGCGCACAGTCAGTGGAGGGACACCGCCAGACAATTTGCCTGCCAATCCTCTGGCCACCAGCAGGAGGTCTCGTCCAGGCCCGGGCACCACCAGGCCCACCGTGGCCACTCCAGGAGCATTGGCAGCCACAAATTGTCCATCGCCAGGGTCCTCAGCCTGGTACAGGAGCTCTGTCACATCCTGGAGGCGTCGTTTCTCACACACACCCTGCCGCACCTGCCCGCAGGCCACCAGCTCCCTGGCCCGGCTGCTCACCAGCAGTAGCTGGTTAGCATTATCCGTGAGCTGGGCCTGCGGGCACTCAGCTGGGTCTCGGAAGGGCACGCAGTCAGGGCTGTCAAGGACAGGCCCCGTGACAGCCATGGTCTCCAACTGCAGCTCAGGGCTGAGCTGAAAGAGGCGGTTCACAGCGCCCACGTAGAGTGAGTCCTCTGTCAGTGCCAAGTGATTGAAGGTGGTGTTGGGGGCGAAGAAACGGTGGGCCATAGTTAAAGGTGGGGCCAACAGCAGCAGCAGCAGCGGCAGCAAGAGGTCAAGACGGAAGGGAGGCCGGGGGGCCATCATGGGATCCTGGGGGAGAGCCAGCAGTGAGGACAGGGACAAGACAGAGAAAAGAGAAAAGCAGGGGGTGAGAGAAGAGGAACCGAGAGGAGGGGCAAAGAGAACGCCCATGACCACAGACAGACAGAGGGACTTGGAGGGATGGAGTGGTAAGGGAGGATGGGCCAGCCTGAGGCAGTGGGGATGGAGGGGCTGCTGGCATGGCCACAGGGGTGTGCGATCTTGTGTTCTTGAATCCAGCATAGAAAGGGAGACCCTCTCAGGGTGAGCAAGCTGCACTGGGCTGCCAGAGGGAGAGAAGCTGAGGGGAAATGGAGGCAGGCAGTTGGACACTGGTGGCCAGGGCCAGTGTGGGTAGAGCTGGGTGCGGTCAGGGCTGGGCTGGGAGAGAGTTGGGAGCAGCAGAGAGGCAGGAGTGATTTGGGCCCGGGGGTGGGAGGCACCATAAGTCTGGGCATAGGAGCTAAGGTATTAGAAGAAGAGGGGAGGGGGCATGGGAAGAGACCAGGAGGGAGGAAGAGAAAGGCCAAGAAGCCCAGACCCCCAGATGGCTCCTACAGTCCTGCTGTGTGACCGGTTCCTGCAACGAATCCCCTGCCTCTCCACCTCCAGGAGCCCCGAGCAGGCGCCCTCAGCTGCCTGGAGCCAAGGATTTGTGAGCTCTAGGGGGGTGGGCACATGGCCGGCATCTACCCTGGGCTGGGACCCTAGTCCCTTATCTCAGGAGCGCAGACGGGAAAGCGAGGGCAGCTAGGGCTGCCACAGGGCTTCCTCTTGCCTGGCCTATCTCCTGCGGTGTCTGTGCCCAGGGGGAGGCAGGGCGGGGGCTGTGAGACATTCTTGAGGGCCAGGGTCCGGGACACTTACTGAAGCTGAGCCGACTCCTGGACGACGACGCAGGACCACAGACAGAAAGCACGTCTCCTCAGTTCAGCTGCCCTAGGGCAGTGGGGCCAGGCACAAGATGGTTGGGGGGGGCATTGTCCTGAGTGGGAGGGAGACGCAGAGGCTCGGCCCCATTCCTGCTGGACTGGGGGGAGGAGGGCGGCAGGGGGCTGAGGGCCTGACGGCTAGGCTCGGCCACAGCTGGCAGCTTTGTCAATAGTGGCCAGGGCCAAGCCAGCCCTGCCTCCACCCCAACAATGTCGCCTCTGTCCCAACTCCCAGGCCCAGGGCCCGTTATCTGGTACTATTACCCCCCACCCCCACCCCGACAGGGGGTTCTGGGTAGGGGGCTCCCTGCCACTCCTACACCAGGGAGACACCCACTGGGATGTGGGGACAAAGGGTATCCTCCAGCCAGAGAAATGAGCCCAGCCTGCTCCCTGTCCCTTTGCAAGGGTTGCGATGGGCCATGGAGACCCCTCGGGAGGGCCAGCGGCTCCAAGCCCTCGAAATGCCAGTCTCGGTCTTGGTAATCTTAGCGCCTTTGTCCAGGCTGGGGGCAGGGGAGATGCGGACAAAGGCAGGAGCCCATCCAGAAGACTGGCCCAAGAGCCAGCCACCAGGCTGCCCCTCCCCAGCCCCACCCCCAGAGGTTGGCAAAGTCGTGCCAGGTACAGCATGGTGGCAGTGGGCAGTGCCACTGAGGGAAAGATGTGCCAGAGGGGTCTGAGGCAGAGACCTCAGTGAGTGCAAACAGGCCATCAGGGATCCACCCTCGCCCGCCCCGCAATAAAGCCTGGGGTAAGGAGGGGAGGGGGCAGAGGCACAGCTGGCTCCCCTCTCCTCCCAGGCCACTAGCAGCACACCAAGCTGGCAGAGCTGAGACCCCGAGTCACAGGGACGTGTTGAGATTTGGGTCCCTACTTGTCCCCCAGCACACAGCAGTCTCAGGCTCCTGGCTGGGCCGGTTGGGTGGCTGTGGGGGAGGGAAGCTTGGCGGGCCACCTCCCTATACCGCACCCTGCCAGGGCCGGTATCGGCTTGCCTCTCTCCCGTTTTGGGGCAGAAGCCCCCTGGTTCCCAGCTCCAAGGCCACCTCCTTGGGTATCATAATCCCAGGCATCAGTAGGTGCCATCGCAGGGCCTAGGACAGGTGCCCAAGGGCCTTTACCTGAGCTAGCTGGTCCACCCTGAGAGCCCCCTGGTTTCCTGATGTCCCAAGCACACCCCGCAGCACCCTTCACCCAGCAGCCCCTGCCCCTAGGAGGTGCAGCCGGGCGCCTGCCTACCTGAGAGGCCGGGTGGGCGGCAGGCGAGGAGCAGCTGGTGGCTCTGGAAGAGTCGTCCCCCGCGGAGCCCCAGCCTCCCTCCTCACAGTGCAAGCGCCAGCCCGACTCATCCCAGGGCTTGGCCCGGCCCGGCCCCTCCTCGCCCTCCCCATTGCCCGACGGTGCAGGGCAGGGCGCTGCTGCCCTCTGCCGGCTTCGGCGAGCACAGCGGAGGGCGGCCGAGGGCACCTGGCCAGCGCAGGTGAGTGGAACAAGACCCTCCTGAAACCCTCTTCGAAGTGCCTGTGGGATGCCCACCTCCACCTGTGCCAGGAACTTCTTGGGTTCCCTGGACAGAGGTGGGATTGGAACCTAGGCCTACGCCCTGAACCACCGAACAGTGGCATCACTAGGGTTGGGGTCACCCAAAGAGCCTATGAAAGAGGGATGGTAGGGCGTGGCGGAGTTAGGGGGCTGGCCCTCGGGGGCGGGGCAGGGCCCAGCTCACTGACCCATTCTCTGCTTTCAGCCAAGATCCATCTGACATCAGCAATGATATCCCTACTTCCATGTCCTCTTCTGAATCCGACTTGAATTTCTGGCGGCTCTCTGTCAATGTGTGGTTGCAGCCATTTTTGAATTATCGTCAGCAGAATTTTACTTGTATGTGATATTAACGATATTGTTTAGTGATTTCCACATTCCACTGGGTCACCTCTCTTCAGAATGGGCAGAAATAGGATAGATCCCTCCAATCACTTGCCAGGGGCCTGTCCTTCACTTTTCTTGGCATGGATGAGTGAGTGGCTCTAGTGCTTCAACAGTTTGTGGAAAGATTTCAGTTTGTACTCTGTCAATTTCCAGAGCCTTGTTTCCCGCCAAGGCCTTCACTGCAGCTTGGCCTTCTTCCTTCAGGATCACTGGTTCGTGATCATATGTTGCCTCTTGAAATGGCTGGACATTTGGGCATTTCTTTTTGGTACAGTGACTCTGTGTATTCCATTTCTTTTGATGCTTTCTGCATCATTCAATATTTTGCCCAGAGAATCCTTCATTATTTCGAGTTCACGTTTGAATTTTTTTCTTCAATTCTTTCAGCTTGAGAAATGCTGAGCGGGTTCATCTCTTTTGGTTTTCTAACTCCAGGTCTTTGCATATTTCGTTATAATACTTGACTCTGTCTTCTCGAGTTGCCCTTGGAATTTTATGTTCAGTTCTTTCATCTCTTCCATTCACTTTAGCTTCCCTAAGCTCAAGGGCATGTTTCAGAATCCCTTCTGACATCCATTTTGTTTTTTGTTTTCTTTAGTGTCTTTTTAATGACTTTTGCTTTCTTCCCATATGATGTTCTTGATATTATCCCATAGCTAGTCTGGTCTTCGGTCATTGGTGTCTAATGTATCAAATCTGTTCTTGAGATGGTCTCTAAATTCAGGTGGGATATATGCCAGGTTAAATTTTGGCTTTTGTGCACTTGTTTTAATTTTCTTCAGCTTCAGCCTGAACTTGCATAGGAGCAATTGATGGTCTGTTCCATAGTCTGCCCCTGGCCTGTGTTGGCTGATGATATAGAGCTTTTCCACCATCTCTTCCCACAAACATAGTCTATTTTATCCCCGTGTATTCCATCTGGTGGGGGCCATGTATATATATAGTTATCTTTTTACGTTGTTTTAAAAAGATATTTGCAATGCATAAGTCATTGGTCTTATATATTTTATCGTGCAAATCTCAAGCATCATTTATATCACCAAAGCCATATTTTCCAACCACTGATCCTTCCTTATTGTTTCCAATTATCCGATTCCATTCACCAGTAATTATCAATGCATCATGATTGCATGTTTTATCAATTTCATACTGAAGAAGTTGGTAAAATTCTTCAATTTCATCCTCACTGACTTTAGTGGTTAGTGTGTAAATTAGAATAATAGTGGTATTATTGTAATAGTGGGCTTCCTTGTAGACATATGGATATTATCCTATCATAGACAGCATTCATTGGACTTTAAGACAAATCTTGAAATGTTCTTTTTGGCAATAAATTTGACCCTTTCCACTTCAATTTGTCATTCCCGTCATAGTGAACTGAACCATGTGATTGTCAGATTCAAAATGGCCCACACCAGTTCATTTCAGCTCACTCGTGCCTAAGATATTGATGTTTATGTGTTCCATTTCATTTTTTACAACTTCCAATTTTCCTACAGTCTTACTTCGTACATTCCATGTTCTGATTAGTAATTGATATTTGCAGCTGTTTCCCCTCATTTTGAGTTGTGTCCATCAGCAAATGAAGGTCCTGAAAGCTTTATTCCATTCACTTCATCATGAACAACACTCTACTTTGAGGAGGCAGGTCTTACCCAGTCATATTTTGAGTGCCTTCCAACCTGAGGGGCTCATCTTTCAGTACTCGATTGTGACCATGTTCTTCTGCTGTGCATAATGCTGTCATCTTCTGGCACTATATCGGGCAGTGTTCCACTTCTATTCATAAGCTTCTCGGTGGCTCAACTATCTGAACTATTCTGCCTCTTCTTCTTCCTAGCCTGGAAGCTCTGCTGAAACCTGCCTACCAGCAACTTGCAAGCCAGCAGAGCATGAAAAACTGACAGATGAATGGTGGGAAGAAGTTGATAGAATGCTTCAATTTCACCATCAGCTGTAAACATCCATTAATAATTGAAATATGGAATGTACAAAGAAGGAATCTAGGAAAATTGGAAGTTGTCAAAACTGAAATGGAACGCATAGAGATCTGTACCCAAGCCGTTAGTGAGCTGAAATGGCCTTTTGGAATTCAGCCATCATATGGTGGCTTGCATGTTGCTGTGAAGCTAGAAGCTATGCTACCACTATCTTGAATGCCGGCAGGGTCACTCATGGTGGACAGGTTTCAATTGAGCTTCCAGACTAAGACAGACTCAGAAGATGGAGAGACGGGCTGCTTCTGAA